ACACAAAGCAGATTTTCTGAGGATCACTGAGGGAGGAGGGAAACCTTCTGATTCTCTTTAGCAGCCACAGAAGGGATAGAAGATTTAAGGAAGTATTTAATACAGCAAATATCTGTTTGTTAACAGAGGAACACCCTCCTGGCCTGAATTTCCCCCTTATCTGAGGTTAACAGAGATCCACTTCATAGCACAAGGAAGACTACAATTAAACCCAGCAACAGCCTATTGGCACAACAAGCCACATGAACACTGCCAGAATTGAGGCAGGGATGAGGGCTGAGAAAAGAGATGGACCCGCAGACTGTGTAGGTACAATCCGTTCAACTCCAATAAACTTATTTTATTTGCACAGATTTTGGTAAATTTCCAACCGGCGTGAATGTTTATGCAGTCACTGGTGAAATCTACCCCACCTGAAACCCAATGGAAGACAGCTCTGTCATATTACCCTTTTTGTCGTGGCCTGCCACTGAAACAGAAAACAAGCCGTCCTTGAGAAGGTCTACATGTAATTGACATTTGGGATTAAGGGGAAAAAAAACCCAAAACAAAAAACAGTAAAAGGTTTGTACTCCCAAAAACATGCTTCTGTCTCTTACACCAGGAGACAAAGGAGTCATCATCCACCCTGTTTGGAATTAAGTGCTTATCTAAGGGACAACAAGAATTTCTGGGGCCAGAATAAACATGTGAAGGAAACCCCTCTTCTTCCTCTTCAGTGAAACAAAGGGCTCTGTTATAGGTGCCAGTTGTATCAATAAAATTAGTGAGAGGTGATAGCATACACCGCAAGCAACCCTTCAGCTGTCCCACTAAGGATCTGGAGGTGTCAGGACCCGGAGGGCACCACCAGCCTTAGGGGCACAGGTCAGTCTCACATGGGACCTCCACACGCTCCCCCTGCCTGTAGCCCAGCATCTCCATTTAAACTTGGGCATGGGCCTTTGCTCTCCACCTGAACTTTGCCATAGGTGTACCTGTCTGCAGCCCTGCCTCTGGCCCTGTCTCTCCTGGACTGACTCAGGCTGTAGACTGCTTGGCTCCTGGAAAGACCCCTCATATATAGACTGTAGCTTGTATCCAGTCCCGCCTCTGGCCCTGTCTCCTGGGTCAACTTCGGACACATGCAGTAGCTTTGTCTCCAGCCCTGTCTTTTAAACTCCTGGATGGAGCCTCATTGCCCCTTCTTGCCCGGGACTGTCAGACCCTGTTACCAGCACCCAGCTCTGCCTGCCATGCTTGGACCCTGCGGGCCTGCGCCCCACTGGGGTGGGCACTGCCTGCACTGGGGTCACCCTTGCCTCAGCTCCTGGCCCCTGCTCTGCCCTGACAAGAGGCTGGTGCACACTGGTTGCAGGAAAAGACTTAAAAATCAATGGCAACAATATTCATCTCATAACTGGTGACTGGACAGATCCTTTCTGGGAAGGCCTCCAAGTTGTCCATAATCACAACCTAAGTTATTTCCAAGCCTTTAAGCATGGCCTTAGGACAGACCTTGGCATTTTGGTGAGGGCCTTAGCCCAGCAATGGATCAACAGCTTTAATGCCAGGTACAGAAAATACCATCTGAGAGACTAATAGAGCTTTGTAAGGCATAAGCACATGAATCATTTTGTGGAAGAAGGAGAAAGAAAGGAAGAGTATGTGCTTGCATTTACAGGAGAAAACTTAATGGTAATGTGTTACTTTTCCTCTTCCACATTAACGTAGAAAAAAAGCTCTTGATGTATTGAACACAGCATTCCCCAACCGTTTAATTTAAAACGCAAGGCGAGAATGGTGAGAAGGGTCAGAGTTAAGCCATTCCATTGACAAATAGATGATACATCCAGAAGAGAGGAATGTGCCCCTGTCAGAGCACCCTAAGTCGTGCCTTTCTGCATTGTAATTAATTCTTTGTCTCTCTTCAGCTGTGCTCACATTTCTTATCTCACAGAAGATCTCTGAAGGCACACTTGGGGATAAAGTAAGCTTATATGGAGGAAAGGATAATGCAGTTAGTAGGTGTTGCTATGCAGGTTGCTAGCCTTACACAGTCTTTACACTTAGTAGTGCCTTCAATTTAAAGACAGTTATTTCATTTTTGTAATCATCTTTAATACTCAACAATTTCATCTTCAGCAACAGCCAGTCCTTAAAAATGATATAAACAGTAACTGGCAAAAATCCACCATTAACGTGCCAGTTCTCTTGAACTTCAGTCCAATAAACTAATTAAAATGTTTAAGACCAAATCCTGTCCAAGCACTAGAATTCATCTCTCTCACATAAACGTGGCATGATGTCATGAAGGCACACCATCTAAGTAAAGCAGCATACTTCTGGAGATGTTTCAATGACAGGACCTCACTGATAGGATTAGATCAGTTCCACAAATTTCTGAGGAGCTTGTTACTATAACCTGCCCCAACAAGGAGATGAAGAACTGGTGAGTGCAAAAAAATACCAGGTAGACAAGTCCTTATTAGAACCAACTGACAAAACAAGAGAAAGAGTTAGGAACCAGAAAAAGACAAAATATAATGGAAGAGGAGTTATTTGACCTTCTACTTCTGTTACAACTGAACAGAGTTTAAATACCTCACAGGAAAACAGAGGTTTTTAAGGAGATAAAGATATCTTCAACAGTAAGCTGAAGGCATTTTGTGGCTCGTTCTCTTACTTTTTCTGTAATTTAACTGTGGGATATTATATTGGCACAGGCATCTCATTGCTGGAAACACTAAAACTTTATTAACCAATAAGTAAGTATTGCTAAGGATGAGCTAATCATGGCTTAACACAAGGAAAGCCCAAAGTCCACTTTAAAATTAGTAACAATAACTGACAGTTCCTAGTAACTCTAATGTACAGTGAAATGGGTTCTGCATCTCCTACATGGCTATATATTCTACTGCATGCTCTCCTCTCCACCTACTATAATTACTGCATTTGTGCTGTCTTTCCCCATTTCCTAGATTTTGTGTCAATGAAATCAAAGGTGCAGTGGCAATTTACCGTGGCTGTATCTGAAACCAAACTTCTTCACCCTCTGCTGTTCTAGCCATGATGTCACATACACATTGACATTAGTAGAATATATAAAGCATTCCATTAATATTTTCACTCTCTCGCTTATAAATATTTATCAATTTCTTATGTGAGTATTGCACTAAGTGTCTCTGGAATTAGACAACTGTTCCAGCTGGACAGAATGCTAATGTGGCCATTACACTCATTCAACTCCATCACAAATTGTTTTTTCATTTATTCTGTTTCTACTCTTGAGTTTGCAAAAGTAGCCCCAGCTTCTACGACCACTCTACTCCTCACAACAATGCACTGCAAGTACAAAAACCTTTACCACGTGTTTCAAGTTATTTTTGCTCCTTCTACTAGTCTCTACAAATCACAGCTGCAGAATTGACAGCAAGAAGATTACTATTTGATTCGCAGTGGAAGAATAAGCTATGAAAACAGGGGCACACGAACTACATAGGCCCTACTTCTTTTCCAGCCCTCCAAAATCCTTTTATGTGACCAATGCCTGAGGACCCTTGCCTACCTGTCTCCAGAAAATTCAAGGTTAAGGTTGAGAGCAAGAGAAAGTAAGGGGCTGCCAAAAGAAAGTGGGAGCTGCATGGAGACCGGCCCTGGAAGAAATCTTTAATTTGGGCAACAGTATCAAACATGTCTATGGCTTCCCAGGATAATTAGGGTTAAAGTTCAGCTTCCAGTTGACAGACAGAAGTTGTTTAGAGCTGTAGCACATGTAGGGTTCAATGAGTCTGAAGTCCTCATTTCAGCATGCCCACCTTTCCTCACCACCTGAGTTTCTGTACACTGGAACTCAGCATTAAGTACTAGCTCCCGTATTTCCTTTTTATAAACCCAGCCTACTTGCATACGGAGCGCCCTGTGCCATTCTATTTCTGCTCTCTTTTTTTCCTCAGAGCTGAAAACATAATGGTCTGCTTGCATAAAGGAAATTGAGTTACCTGTATAACTGAGAACACTCTTTGGGCATTAAAAACTATTTCAACCAGGCTTATCCAGCACACACACAAAGCCAAATCATCTCTGTTCTTTCCAAACAATGAACCTAGGAACCTCTCAACGGAGGCAAGACCTTACCACATCTTCCCTCTTCTACTGCACTGACTGTAGGAACTTCCACTATTAAGATGGAATTGGCCTCTTTGCAACTATTGCATCACCCAAAATCCATAAATGTCACAGGAGCCTGAATCTCTGCAAGTTTTGCATCAGACACCTTGACAGGACTGGTGCTTTTTTGCTAAGACTGCAGCATTCAAAAATATGTCCTAAATAAACTTCACAAGAATTACCTTCCTTCACAATTGATTCAGACAGAAATGAGGGGAAAAAGTAGTAGAACTCCTTTCCTTCATCACAGAATTTAGACCAACCCAGTATTTCTATTTTTAATTGCATTTATGATATTTCCTGTGGGTATCAGTCATGAATGCAGTTCCAGTATGCTGGGAGCAAGGTAAATATAGTCATTCCCAAAGGGATCTTACAGCTGTTATGCACGGGTCAGAGGCTGTGAAATGCAAAATCTGAAACTTTAAAAGCTTTTTAGCCCACATCCTTCCCCTTCTGTTTCAAAGGCCTTTGCCTTTAATGGATACTGAACAACACTGCCCCAGATTTTGCCCACAAGGTATGGAAGTACTAACTCCATTTAAATAAGGTAATATTTAGCAAAAAGCAACCACCCGGTCCTATCTCTCTCTGCCACTTTATGCCGACAAATGTGCAAGTGAAGACGACAAGATACATGGAATTGTTTCCTCTGCAAATCATTCTAAGGGGGGGGCAAGGAGGAATGCAACTTCACCCTGCAGAATATAAGTTTAGCCTCCTCCTCCTACCTGATTCCTTGCCTCTTATTTTGACATGAGACCACTCAAAAGGACTTAAGCAAGCAAGCTCTTCCCCATACCAAATCTGGAGCTGTCAGCCCATAAAAATGCAAAGCATTCTACACTTACCTATGATCACAGTCTGGTGAAGGAAAAATACTCATCAGCTGCTTCTCTCAGGAACAACGCTCTGTTTTAAAATAAATAAAAAAGAAACAAGACTTTAAGGAAGGGAGAGAGAGAAGCACTGTTTAATGTTTGCCTCCATCAGTGTTCGTAAACATTTACTTAGCAAGAGCACCTTCGCTCTCCAGAACCAAGGTAATGATTACATTACGCTAACCATGGCATGAGGACAGAACGAGGCCATGACAACAGCCTTCTTGGCACCAACTAGACACTGACGTAGGGTTGCACTGCGGCAGGTTCAATTGTGCAAGAGTGAGAAAGAGTAGGACGAGATGAGAAATTATGAGTGCAGGAGAAAAAAAAAACAAACCCAAACAACCAACAAACTAGGAACCTGGATTTGGAGGCAAAGCACAAAGCAAAAAGAAACTCACAGAACAAGCAAATGTGGTGTGAGCTGAGAGAACTGGACACGCCAGCATAGTTCTAATAGGATTTTTCACATCTGTTCATTAATATCGTTGCCTTTGAAACAACCCACAAAGCAAACCGTAAGTCGCTACCTTCTTCAGTCTTGGCCACAGCTAAATCAGTTCAGTAAAACTTCAGTGGCGTGACAAAGTCTGCGTAGTTTACTGCCAAAGCCTTTGAAAGAGTCAGGACCATTAGGTATACTGTGAAACAAAAACAAACCACCGAAGGAGAGAGTTACACCCTTCCTCCACCCCTCTACCTGGCTAGCGATCACACAGATGAAAGGACTTTGTGAAGCTCAGGAAACTTCTGCATGTGAACATACAGAGACACATACAGAGAGCAGCTTGCCAGCCAGAGCGTCTCAGCGGAGGCACCGAAACCCCGAGGGGAGGACACGGATTAGAACAGGGTTGGGGCTAAAAGGCTAATTTTGCTAAACCTGTCAGACAGATTCTAAGGGCTGGTCTTCCGCGTCAGCTATGTCTCAGGTACACAAGTCCTCTCCTGTAGCTTTCCAGCTCACACAGACCTTGATTCAGCAAAAACTCTGACCTCTGAGTTTCCAATAATCTTTAATACCTCTACCGCCAATTAGTAAACAAGTAATAGCCAGACTTGCGCTGGCCTCTAAATATAACCAAGTATACTCAGCTTCCTCCAAATTTATGCGAGCAAAATCTTCTCTTTTCCTTTTTCCTGGTTAGGTAAAGATTGCACCTACCCTGCCTCAGCCCTCCTGGGTACACAACTTTTCTCTTATTTTGATCCATAATTCTTATGTTTCTTCACTAAATAGTTGGAGAAGGCCAAATGAGAAGCCTTGCATGCCTGGTAAACACACCATGGTAAACATCAAAACAGCCAGATGCAACGGCAAAACTACAAAAGGGGTGAGTGTTTGAGGTCACTGTAAAAGGAACAAACAGCTAATGTTTTTCACGTAACTGTGACAATCCAGTGAAACTCACTGAGAAAAAACAATCAAATTAGGAGGTTAATAATTAGTATTTATACAGTGGCAGTGGATAATACCCCCACATCTCCACTACTCCCACAAGCAGATACACCAACATCCAACTAATGGCATTCGATAACGTTTCCCGTAGGCAATGGCTGTCCCCTGATGTTTCACTGCAAAGTATCTCATACTTTTGATGCAAACTATCACCAAAGTGTTGACTTGGGCCAAGATGGAGTATCACTGACTAGTTGGTTTTACTTTCCAGAATACAGCAGACTTCCAAAAAACAAAAGACCAATCTAGGGGAGACACTCAAAGGGGAACAGGAGTTACAAATAATTTTCTCTTCAACTTTTAAAAATGCCACCTGCTCACACTTGCAGAAGCTACAAAAGAGTTATATCAATGAGGTAAAGAGACTCCTGCTCTTTGTAGTCCTACAATTTTCCACTAAGACATGTCACAAACGACAGAAGAAGAAACACAACAGCATAGCGTAAGAGAGGAGGAAGAATTTAACACCAGTTGAATAGGGTAACAAGGAGTTTAAACTGAATGCAATATTTGATAAGTAGCCAGTGATGAAACACAGAGAACAGAGTGATACTACCCAGCAGATAGATTTTTTCCATCAGTAGAATATCATTGGAATCAGTCAAATCTGATTTCCCTGCAAGATTTAGTTCAAAGAACCTTAAACTAAAGGCATAGTTTAAAGCAACACTAGACGGATGACACTAATGTCATTTCCACAGGAAGCCAAGTGAGGTGGCAAAAACCTTGCCTCTCAGGTTCCCATTTCCCTCCTCCATGCATACTGCTCTGCCTGTGATGTCCGTGAGAACCAGGCAGATTTGCCTGTCTGGTAAGCCCTCAGCACAAAGCGCACATTACTACCATTATCAACAGCTGCTAAACATCACCTCCCAAACGCTTAACACGGAAGGCATCGCCACATTTCATCTCCAGGCATCAAGGCGTTTACTAATGGAAATGAACTTCTGCTTAGCACACAATTAAGCGATTTTGGAAAGATATCATTAACTCTAGGTGCATCATCATGTCTTTTCCCATGTTTGTATTTAGTTTCAAATTTACTAGCCATAACAGTAGAGTGGGAAAGCACAGGAGATTGTACTCTGGCCATGCAGCCTCCCGCAGGAACTCCCGTTAGTCAGGGTGTGTGCCCCAGAGAAACTCAATAAGCAAGGACATTTGTATTCCTGACAGTTTTATTTCTTTAAACACCAACCACGCTGGAAGTTTCACTTTACTTTTTACTCCGGAAAAAAGGCCAAACCTGAGTGTAACAGATGCTGTCTGGAATGCCCAGGACACATAGGAGAGCGTGTGTGTGGTCCCTTTCACCATCACCAGATAAAACAGCTTTCAGGAAAATGAGAAGGGTGCTTCATTTTTCTAAGACTAAAAACTGTAATATTTACACTAATCAAATACAACAGGGTCCACTTAGTCAGAAGAACGGTATTCACATGGGAGCACAACCAAGTAGAACTATTTTCCCATGAAGATCTTATCCTCAGTCTGGGCAAACAATCCAAGTCACACTAGACAGACAACTGTGCTACTCTGTATGTCTCCGTAGTAATTACACCAAAGAAACATGGCAGTCCTCAGTTCAAAAATTACAACAATCATTTTAAAAGCCCAAATCAGAAGCACAGTGAATGTACATGATGATAATGAGAAATCGCAGAAGGCAGCTTGATACAGTCAAAAGATGAAGATTTACAGGGACACGACCAGAGCAGAAAGCCCTGCTTAGTAAATGGTGGAAATTTCTCGTTAATTTCTGTAAAAGGATAAAACGGAAAATAAAAACCACAGGCACCTGAGGTTTGCATTTCTCCCTGGGTAACAAAGTTTGTAACACCACCAAGAGTGTCGTGTAGCTTGACAGTTCAAAGCTGCACAAAGACAACACCAAGCAAAGACGAGGTGATTTTAGTGAGAACAGGGAGGAAGGATGGATGGACTGCAGCAATCTAACAGGAAAAAAGGGGAAAACGGTCATAGAGAAGGGGGAGAGAAAAGGCATACAGTTATGTGGGACAGAGT